TTGATTGTCACTGAAAAAAAAAAAAAAATACTTACATTCAGCAACATTGGAAAGACCAAATTATGAAGGGAACTCTAATACTTCCCAGGGAAGAATGCTGCTTTACATAGCAAGGTATATTGTGCGGGATAGGGTAGAATACTGAAAAGATCCATATAACCAACTCCAATTAAGTGGAAATAGGGCATGATCGAGTCTTATTGAGTGGTAGAAGGTAGTAAAAGAATGAAATAAAATAAAGCTGCAATAAAAGGTTTTTAATCTTCTCAACTTTCAGACTAAATCCAAGAAGACACAACCAATTTAGTTCATTGCCTTGCAGAACGCAAAATTACATCGAACATAATAAAGAGCAGCATTGGAACACAAACAACAAAATGGAATCTCCTATTGTCAAAGGACATAGTTTCCTTGGAAGTTCAAGTCAAATAATCCACATAGTTGATATGGGTAGGTGAGAATTCTAACAATTGGAAGGTAGCTAAGTGGATGGAATATTTCTACTATTGCAAAACTTTCTGTTTAAAGCCTCTCAAAAGGAAAGTTTAACACAAACTAGGTTAGAGATACCAATAAATAAGAAAACATCAAAAAAGAAAGCTGTATAAGCTCTCCCTCTCATCTTCCTAGCTCTAGTTTTGTTTCCAAAAAGAATAGGAGAAACCACAAGCAGTTAAATTCCCACAACATATACTAGATGCATTAGAAACTAGAAATATGCAACTAGAATTTGAAGACAGTTGTCCATTGTTGAATCCTAAACAAGTCATGGGTTCCTTATAGGCTGAAAGTGGAAAAACACAAGGTCCACTACTCCGGGGCAGTCACTTAATATGACTTCCAATATTTGAAAACTATCTGAAAGTTCTGTCTGTAGAGGTGGACAGTGGAGCTGTAATAATTTCTCAGTGTAACATAATATATCATGAGAGAGGATTATTACCGAATAACCACTTGACCTATACTGAAGCATATAGATCACAGTGGTATTCCTTTTCAACCATGACAAAGAGAATGAGAATATCCTCTTTTTTTTGTTCTACTTTTATTTTCTGTGGAAAGACTGAAGAGCCATATTCAACATAAATATGTTACTATATACAAGTAAAGCAGGCATATTATCTTTTCAAGCTTTCCCATCTCCTTTGCAATTTGCATAAGAATCTGACAGTGTATCACTCTTATACCAGAAAATAGAAAGTGGATGGTATCCATTCACCGCATTAAAATGAATAACTATATCTTTTGTCTATTTAACACTCCTTCAGGCGTCCTTTAGCAGCATCTTATCATTAAGGCTCAGCATGTCTTCATGTAATGGTAAAAAACTAGGAAAGCTAAAGCTTTTATGAGTTCTTAAGCTTGGATGGGATGCTATGGTTTAGAAGGCCTACCATGATCAGCAAACATGGGTAAGAGGTTGAGATATGGACATCCAGAGTTTTCATTCATTTGGCTGTTGTTTGTTTGTTTGTTTTTTTTTTTTTTTTTTTGTAATCCATTCACCGCGATTAAGATGAATACTATATCTCTTTTGTCTATTAACACTCCTTGATCAGGAGCGTGCCCTTTAGCAAGCATCTATCATTAAGGGCTCAGATGTCTTCATGTATGGTTAAAAAAACTAGAAATGCTAAAGCTTTTTATGAGTTCTTGAAGCTTTGGAATGGGATATGCTATTTTTTTTGGGTTTTTTTTTAAGAAAAAAAACAAAACAGGCCCCCCCCCCCTAATCCATGATCAGCAACTATGGGTAAGAGGTTGGAGATATGGACGATCCAGAGCTTTTCATTCATTTGGCTGTTGTTTGTTTGTTTGTTTTTTTTTTTTTTTTTTTTCCCCTAAAGATAATTATACATAGATTATCCTTTGTTTTTTTTTTTTTTTTTTTCCCTAAAGATATTATACCATAGATTATCATGTTGAGTAGATATTGGTCCTCTGAATACCTGTCAATGATCTCTCATCTATATATGTGTGTGCGTGTGTATATAATCTCATCTTTTTTTTTTTTAAATTTATAATTTTTTGATAATTGACAGCTAGTCCATTCATAGCTCAGAAGCATATAGATAAGAATACAATTTAATAAATTTCTCTGCAAAACAAGTCTCAAAATAAGGTCTCAACCAGTTTTATAACCTAAGGGGCAGCTTCTGTTACAAATCAACTTGGGAGTATTCAAACACTGTTTTGAGATTTATTCCAATAATTGAAATTGTTTCTCTATATCCTCTCCCAAAAACAAATTTAAATTTGTTTTTTTATTCTGAATTTCTATAGCTGAAAAATATAGATATAATGCATCTATGATATACATATAACATCAGATAAGGATCCCCAAAAAAAAAAAAGAAAAACTATATGAATAGAATGAGCCCAAGGTCACATTTGCAAATCCGGAAAGGACATGATAGGTTCACTCCAAAATAAACAAAATAATAATAATAATAATAAGGCAAACCAAAAGGAAACAAGAAGTAGCAGAACTTTTTGTACAAATAGTTAAATAATATTGTACATTCAATTTTATTTATACATATCACACAACTGGAAAAAAAAGGAACCTTTAAAGATCAGAAATTAACTATAAAGATTAAGCACTATTAGCAGCCACGACTATACATAGAAGACAAGCCCAAAGAAATATAGATCCTTCAAATTATCTTACTTGGCAAAATCTGTTCTTTGTGATCCAGCAATGATAGTCTAAGGCAAAAAGAAGCAATCTTTCCCAAACCCCTATCTAGTCAAATTCTACAACAGAATACATGGCAAGAGCTAACTTCATTCATCAGCAACCACCTGAAAAGGCAAACGGCTCATTCAGTTTCACTTTCTATCAGAGCAATAACAAAAGGATCTACATAGGTGAAAAACTTCAGCATCATGTAACCTCTGCATGTTAGAAATATAGAAGTAGAAATACTAGAGCTATTCTGGGAAAACAACAAATGAAAGGTTTCTTGAACTTCCAAGATAATCATCATCGATAAGATCTTATATTAGAAAGATCTCATTTATTTTTCAAATTGAAAGCATCAGCAAACAGAAATTGTTGAAGTTCTTTTATGCTATCCTTAATCTATTGCCTTGAAAATTTTATCTTCCCCAGTTTCAATGCAGCCTACTTTTCCAGGACCTCTTTTTTCCTTCTAATATTTTTTCCCTCTCAACTTTATATTCTTTTGTAATACAAATTCCTATTACATGTTTTAAGTTCTCTTAAAAGCTTGTTTGGTATAAATTATGGTAACTATTCACAAATCCACATTTTCATGTTTGGTATAAATGAAAATTCATTTAGAATTTTACATATTTAGTTTTATGGAGTTGAGACAATAGGTGCGAGTAGCACAAGTCAAAATAAAATGAGAGAAGGATGACTGAGATGGTTAGGTCAAGTCTTACATAGACCTTCAGGTGTCATGATTTTTAAGTGTGATGCATTGGTGTGAAGGTTGCTAAACGGGGAAGAGGTAGACCTAGAACCACATCGAAGGAAGTCGTTGCAAAGGATCTTCTGTCTCTTACCATTAATGCAGATTTAGCTATGAACAGAGCAAAATGGAGAAAGGATTCATATAGCCGATCCCAATTAGTTTGGGATTAGACTTAGTTGTTATTGTTGTTATTGTAATTTTATGGAGTTGGTTATACTTGAACCAAATTCTATCGAAATTGATAGAATTTTGCAAATGAACTATAAACTTAATAAGAGGTACAAGCTGAAAGCTTAAGAATTAGAAATACAAGCTAGTAATGCTACATATTTAGAATGAATTCCATATTTGATCCAAACACAAAAGTTCACTTATGAAATATTTTTTTTTAATGAAATCATTTGTAAATGAGATGAATTCCACAAAGAATTATTCCAAACGCTATGTAAAGGAATTTGGAACTCCTCAACTTCTCTTTGCCACATCAGAAACAGAAGTTGGTCTGCACAGTAAGTTCACTCAAAACAAAAAGTACATTTTATTATATTATTTAAAGTTGAAGATAAATATGTATGTTACAAGGACGGTTCAATCTATATCCTTTATTCTACAATCAAAAGTTGAAGCTGATGAACAAATGGAATACCAGACAAGTAAAACTAAAATCTGTCTTTAATTGGATCCTTCTATCATTTCTGTTTTTATTTTGTTTAGTAGCAATGACTGTCAATGAGTAGCTCAAGATTGTTTTCCTGATGAAGACAGGGAAAGTGCATTTGCAAATTAAATCTATTTTATTATTGTTATAAACTCTTCTGCTTGATGTGAAATCAGAAGGGATTTAGGAGGTGATTTAACTAATATCTTTTCTTTTTGAAAGGATGGCTCACAACTCTAATGCTCGCTAAAATTGCAATATGGAAAATCAAGTCTTCCAATGCTCTGGAACAAAGTTTAAATGATTTATTCTATACTGAAGTGTAAGTAGCTTCTGTCTTCAACAGACAGTGATGAACTCAAATATTTCTTAATGGCAATGTTTGAAGTGGAATCCTAGAGGATCAAAATTCAGTATTGAGGCAGCCATTACGAGGAGAGGACTTATGAAGGGTGCATAATGGTGTTGCTTATCCTTACAGAATTAAGGATTAGGAATTTCCAAAGAAAGCAAGACAAACTCCTTTTATCCCTATATTCCTTTTCAAGTCATTGCAAGCACTTGCTCTCTTATCCAGTCCTTATTAGAATATGTTTTTCCTTACGCAACTACAAAAAACAGATACATTGCACTATCCAAAATAAATAAAACCCAAAAAATAACTCATAAAGGCAAAATCAATATAATAGTAAGCAGAAAAACACCATTTTTCTTGTCAAAAGAAAAAACTTTTTTAAGAAAAAAACACTCATAGTCATTGAATTCTAACAGTTAAATCCATCAACATCCAACAAATAATTTCCCAAATTAGCAAAAGGGAGCACGTAATAACAATAATAATTTCAATAAACAAAACCAAAACTGAAAAATAAAATGAGATAGAGAGAGTGTTACTGTACACAAAAAGCTGAAATTGGAGAAGAACCCATCATCAGTCAATCAATCAGAGTGAGAGTCATGGTAGTAGTCACCAAGATCAACGGACGATGATGGAGGAGAAGAAGATAAGGAAGACCCACGGGCAAGAGGGAAATGATAATGATGATCATCTTCATCAGAAGATGATGAATTGGAGTAGTAAGAGTAAGGATAGAAAGAATCTGGAGGAGGAAGGCAAAGGAAAGTCCATAGCCAGAGAGCAAAACTACCCAATTGTTGAAGAGGAAAACAGCAGATTAGATCAAGAAGTTGGTGACTGCTTACACGTTCTTGAAGTTGAATGCGAGCTATTTCTTGCCATAAATCTGCTGATTTGTGGGCTACTGATAACACCATCAAACTATTGAATACCATTTCGTTCTTCTTCTTCTTCTTGTTGTCGAAGGGCTTGTTTGTTTTTGATAGACTGTTTTAAGAGTTTGATCAATCCACCATTTTTGCTTTTGACTCTGCAGAATTATTGGGTATTGGATAAAAACACTCTTCCTTTTTGCTTTTTACTTCTTCGAGACCCAAGTCGAAGTGTGTCTATTGCATTTGTATGTCGTTTTGGATTTACCAATTAAAATGTTTTTTTAAATTATTAAAACTTATTATTTCGAATTTAAATTTTTAGAAAAAATAATTTATTACAAATGATATATTGATAGTATTTAATACTAAAAATAATATGAATACACGTGAACTAATAAAATTTTTGAATTCTAAAGATTTCATATATATCAAATTATGAGGAAAGATATATAATATTTATTGATTAATTAGGTCTAAAAAATGGAAAAGTACAGAAATAAGTTAAATTAATGAAGAAAGTTAGCTATGAATAATTTTTTGTATATAAATTAATGGCACAAAATTTAAATAGAGAAATAATATTGGACACGAATATAATTAAATAACTATCAAAGGATTAAATGGGTAAAACACTATTGTGGCAAGAATTTTATTGATATTCAAAAAACATTATGGGATTAAAATATAATTAAGGATATTATATATACCTAAGGGCATAATTGTGAAAACACTGTTACAGGAACAGTACTTTCACACGCCCTTTAGCCTTAGATATATATAAATGTAAATATTTTTCTATTATATTTTTATTTTAATGTGAGATATACTCATTCATCTATTATTGATTTTTGCAGTTATTAAAATTAATTAATTAATTAATTATCTAAGGTTAGTTAATATGCATTTAAAATGACTAAACTTAGTAAGTACCAATGTTCTGAAAATCAGATTAGTCATTGAACCAGTGAAGCCAGGAGTTCACTGAATCGGAAAGTGCAACTAGATTTAATACGATTCAGTCCAATTTTTTATATATAATGTTTTTAAATATATTTTTTTAAATACAATTCAAAATATAAAATTTATAAATACTAATAACTTGTATAAAAAGGGTAAAAAAGAAAAATACTAATATTGTTTACCATGCAATCAAACTCAATCATTCAAATGCAATTCTAACTAAAAAACTCAAAGCACACTAAAAAATCCAATCCATCCATCTAACCTATAATTTATCAGCAACTCAACCCATCAATTTACACTAGAGTAAGAAAAATCAAGAAAAAGAAAATTTGATGGAGATTAATAAAGATTCCTGATTCTTTGCTTGCCCATTTCTTAAAAGCAAGGTATTTCCCTCGAACATCTTTTTTGGAAGCTAAGTCTGGATTTCAAACGAGTTATGCATGGAGAACTCTAATTAATGCTAGATGGGTTATTGAGACAGGGACCAGACCCAGAGTAGTGTTGTGGGGTCCCTTCGACATGTGGGACCCACACACATTTGAAAAGAAAGAAAACAACAACAAACACTTTTTATTTTTGCAGTCTTCTTTGGAAGAAGACAAAAAAAGAAGAGGAAAAGTGGACGCGTGATTAATGCGTCCATTCGGTGGACGTGTTAATAACGCATCCCAATAGGGGAAGGTTTTCCCTCAACAAATTGTTCAAAATAAAACGAAGAAGTATACACAGTTAAGTGTAGAGAAAATTTTAGCAAAGGGTTCCTAAAATTGGGAAAGAGAGAAAATAGTGAGGATTATAATTTTTTAGAGTGTTTTTGAAAAACACTTAGAGTGCCACTATTTTTGTAATCTCTTTTGTACGGAAAAGAGAAAATATGTAAGAGAGAAAATAGTGAGGATTATAATTTTTTAGAGTGTTTTTGAAAAACACTTAGAGTGCCACTATTTTTGTAATCTCTTTTGTACCTACTATTTTATAGTGGAAGAATTATTCAGAGTTTGTCCCGTGGCCGTAGCCCATAAAAATTGAAGAGTGAACCACGTAAATCTCGGTGTCCCTATTTTTCATCTGGCATTTATGGCATTTCTCTACGGGTCCCATTCGGGATCAGTTATAATCCCAACAGCTAGTATCAGAGCCTGATTGGTAAATTCTGTCAGTTTTCTATAAAGTTACTATTCACGTGAATAGTGAATTTCGTGAATAGTAAAATTTTGTTAGATTTAGAATTCGACATGGCTAACGACGGGGCAATGATCAAATTAACGGATTCTGATAGTTGGTATTTTTATAGTATTTTTAATATAGTTTTATTAGGATTTTTAGTATTTTAAATTAATTTAATTAGTTTTTATTTAGTTTTATTTATGTTTTTGTGTAAAGCTTCCTTAAATCAGCTTCCTTAAATCATACTTCACTTGATCTTGAGGAATTTTGCAGGATTTTTATAGGAAACCAGCTTATTTGCTATCTAGGCACTGGGACAGTCCTAATTAGGAATAAATACAAAGCCTAAACAATTTCCTATCTCTAAAAGATTTCATACTTAATAAAGATTCACTTTCCTAAATGAACGCGAAGATATTCCAGAAAATCTATATAAATAAAGAGACTAGCCATAGTCAAGGGAACCATCCATTGTATATTCCATCTTTTGTTCTATTGTTTTCTCTCTCTCTCCAAGACTTCAAGTATTCAAGATTTGTGTCAAGATTTAAGGAAGTCGTCCAAACCAATCATTAACTAGTTTTTATTTCTAAACTCTAATTAACTAGGTTTTTATTTCTAAACTCTTTTCTTGTTTTATCTTTCAATATTCTGCTGATTTAGAATATTACAAAAGTTCAATTGAGTTTTTATTTAACTTACTAGGCTTGAACTAAAACTCTCATACTAGAGATTTGAGTAGCTTAATTTTGATTCCATTCTATGATATTACATATTGTTTTCCTTGTTCATCGATATTTAATTTATTATTGAACTTAACTGCTTCCAGGCAGAGAGTTTTCCCCATGGATGATTTATTTCATTAATCACTATCGGGAGAGGGTTTGATATTGAACTAGTGGTAATAAATTACTTGAAAATACATAACTTTGATGCAAAAAGCTATATGGTTGACTCAATTGGGGCGTTTTCCATAAGTTAATAACCTTAGGTTATGAAGTTCATACAACAAACATAAAACTTAAATGATTTAATTTATATTTGATTGCGCTATTGGAAAATAGGTAATTAGACCGGGTTAAAATACGCTAACCAATACATCGGAAGAGCTGTTAGTGATTTAGGGTGTTTCCCCTACTTGGACAATTTAAAAATATGATTAATCAAACTAAACTAAAATAAATTGGATAAAGAATTAAGTGAAAAGTCAAAATCCCTTAGTAACTTTTAAATTCCTTGATTCTTTCATTCAAATATTCTTGCTTGGATTTCTTTTTTGTATCTATTTTATTTGTTTTTCAATTATAATTCTTAAAATTAATTTCCTTTATTGGCCGTTTAAATAATAATAGCGTTAAAATAATTTTGGATACTTGGATAACAACCTTTGTGTTTTGGTACTTGGTATACAATCCTTGTGGACACGATACTCTACTCATTCTATATTACTTGTTGCGATTTCGTACACTTATGAAAATCACTGTCGGATTCGAATTATTCAATGTGGAAATCCATAATGGAGGACTACCTCAATTGCAAAGATCTATATGATCCAATTGAAGGTGACAGTGCAAAGTCAGAAGAAATGAAAGAAAGGCAGTGGGACAAGTTAAAACAGCAAACATTGGGTACAATACGCCAATTGATAGATGCTAGCCTGTACAACCACGTGAGAAATGAAAAAGATCCCCAAGTTCTTTGGAAGAAATTATAGAATATGTACAAGGCTGCGAATGCTCAAGGAAAAGTGTTCATGATTCGTAAAGTCATGAACTTGCATTTGTTAGAGGGGCGATCAGTTACACAAAACCTGAATGATTTTGAAGGACTCCTAACTGAGTTAGCAGTTGGCGGTATGTCCTTGGATGACGAGATGCAAGCATGCCTACTATTGGGATCTCTACCGGATAGTTGGGATACTCTTGCGGTATCATTGAGTAACTCAGCTCCAAATGATGTGGTAATAATGTCTATGGTAAAGAATAGGTGTGGTAACGATGTCTATGGTAAAGAATAGACTACTTAATGAAGAACTAAGAAGAAGAGATGTTGCCAGTACCAGTTCTCAAGCCCTTGTAACAGAGAATAGGGGCCGGAGCAAGAGTAGAGGTCCAAGGCATGTAAAGTCAGGTGGTAGATCCAAGTCCAGAGGGATGAGAAAATGTTACCATTGTGGTAAGGAGGGTAATCTCAAAAGAAATTGTCGTTTACTCAAACAGGATAATGCAGACCGAAGATAGGAAAATGACAGAAATACATCTGCTACAGTCTCAAGAGAAGATGGTGAGGTGACTTTAGTCACTCATGATGCAAATTGCTGTCATGTTGGAGATGCAGATACGGATAATAGACTCCGGTGCTATCATACCACTGTGTTCCAAAAGGAATACTTTTCACTTATAACAGCAGCGAGATTTTGGGCACATAATTAGAATGGGAAATAATAGGTCTCGCAATGGTGGGAATTTGGTGATGTCTGCATAAAGGACAAGTGTCAGGTTGCACATTTAATACTTAAAATTGAGGACATATTTCCGATCATTCGATTGAAACTGTTGATCTGTCAGTGTACTGGACAAGGTAAGGCTATCACCCCCACTATATAGGTGACGGTAACTGGAATCACCAAAGGGTCTTTGGTGGTGGCGAGAGGAAAAATTATGTTGCTCGCTGTATAAAGATGCACGCAACAATATGTGCATTCAACTGAATACATTGCAGATGGATGCTCACCCAAAATTTGTGGCATAGGCGGGCTAGCGCATGTTAGTATGTTAGTGAGAAAGGGTTGAATATGTTGGCTAAGAAGTCCCTCATCCCATTAGCCAAAGGTAAAATAAACCCTTGTGATCATTGTTTATTTGGCAAGCAACATTGTGTCTCATTTCAGAAAAGCTTTAGACGAAGAGACAACAAGTTGGAGTTGGTACACTCTTACGTATGTGGTCCTATGGAGGTATGATCACTTGGAGGAAGTAGATATTTTCTAACCTTCATTGATGATTTCTCACGAAAAACATGGATATATTTGTTGCGTACAAAGGATCAACTATTCAAGCACTTTCAGCAATTCCATGCGATGGTGGAAAGG